CCCGCCGCGCGGGGCAGCCCACCTCGCATGGCCGTGGCCTGGGCTCCAGCCCTTGTCGCACACCCGCTGCCGGGGTCGTCCCTGCCTTGCCCCGCCCGGCCCTGAGGTCGGCGGAGCCCCGGCCGTCCTCCTCCGGCCGTCCGGTCCTTGCTCTTCCCAGTCTAGCCACTTTGGTTAGCCAGGCGGCTCACGACGCCCCACCTGCGGTCAGGCGCTGCGGAAGGCAGCCCGGCAGGCTGGAGGCGTGACGAGAAGGACCTCGGACGCGCGGCAGAGGGGTGCGGCGACTGAGACTACTAGTGGGGAGCCAAAACTGATTTTGAGTTCGAATCGCTGCTTGCCGGTTGGTACAGGCTCCCAAAATCTCATGTTCCAGCCTGGAGTCACCAGCGCTGGGGTTGCCAAAAGAGTCGGTCAGGCGTTTTCCTCCCGCCGGGTGGCCATAGAGTGAAGCCTTTCGGGATTTGTAGTTCGCACCCACGAGGCGCTCACTTGCTCAAATTACAACCTGTCAACGCAGTTTAGGGATTAGGATCCCAAGGAGTCTGGCTATCAGCACCCTCGGTACTCGAGTCAAAGTGTAATCAATGCATTTCCTTTTCCCATATAAATTTTACTTAGGAGTTCTTAATTTTGAATCTGCGAGTTCTTAATTGTAGGCTCTTTTCTGGCTTTTCTTAGGACACCTATGAATCATGGGTCCTTACACACGCAATCTTTAAGTGGACAGTGCGCATGCGCTGACTTCCTTTTTCCGGCTGGAACCATGGAGGTTGCAGAGTAAGTTGTTCATCGTTCCTTCCACAATCCTCCTCCATCCTCGATAGGAGAGGCATTTTGTCTCATTTTTAACCTTCTCACGAACCTTTACTTACTTACTCGTGTGTTTGTGACGTTTTCTGATATCAGTGAGGACCCCCCCGGCTAGGATGGGAGGCGGGCGGCCTTGGGACGGAGATTATAGAAATGCTAAGAAAGAGGCATGAAACGCAGTATGTTCCTAACCTGCCGGTTTGTGGAAGTCCAGTCTTCTGCAGAAGGTCTTTCCAAGAAGGGCACAACCTTTCGACTTTAGCTAGGACTTGGTCCAGGCTTCAACTAGCGAGCAGTTACTTTCAACATGTGGACCTTGGGATTTTCACCGGATGCTGGTTGGTTGGTTTGCTCTTAATTTTAAAGGAGTTTGAAACCTTTCAAAAGTTGTTACTTTTTAGTAATCTAGACTAGATGCGTTTTGTCAGCTTCGCTGTAACTGTTCCCAGTTAGATTTTGGAGGCTGGCACTTTTGAGTTGGTAACATGTTTGTGATTGCCATTTAAGTAAAGCAGTGTGTGCTGGAAATGGTTATTGGCATGAAAAAAATTTGCAACGTCTTACACGCAGAATAAGTACTTCAGTGGCTAATTCTAGAGTACAAAATGGTAGTAGGACAGCGCTGGAAGGTTTGAAACTGTTGATGACATTGCTTGCTTATGACAGAGAGAAGAAAAAGAAGGTTCCTGCTGTGCCAGAAACCCTTATGAAAAAGCGAAAACATTTCGCAGAGCTAAAGATAAAGCGCCTGAGAAAGAAGTTTGCCCAGAAGACGGTGAGTAAACTTTGGAGGTACTTGCACCTAAGGAGACCTTGCAGTTGCGAGTGAGGGAGAAGACAAAGTTCTTAAAGCAAGACTTGAATTGCTATTATGCTGACGGGTTGCTTGGAGCATCTTAATGCTACAACTTCAGTTAAACGTGTTTTGGGGAACATCACTGTCTGCTGTGGCAAAACATTTTGAAGAAAGGTTATTAAAGAACTGGGGTTGCTGTTTGTGATTGGGAGCCAACATGATTAATTGGTAATGGTTTTCAGCTTCGCAAGGCGAGGAGGAAACTCATCTATGAAAAAGCCAGGCACTATCATAAGGAGTACAGACAGATGTACAGAACTGAGATCCGGATGGCTAGGATGGCGAGAAAAGCTGGCAATTTCTATGTCCCTGCAGAGCCCAAACTGGCATTTGTCATCCGGATCAGGGGGTAAGTTCAGTTCTTACCTGTATTCTGGTTTTAAAGGGAAATTTAGAAAGCTGGTGAAATTTGTTTTAAGAGCACTGGTCCCAAAACATTTGGATTACAATATGTATGGGTAGCTAGAAAGAGGAGCAGTTTTCCTGTTAAGGGTTCAGGGGCAAGCCCTGTGCCCAAGCTCCCATCTGTACTGTACTGATAACACAGGCAGGACTCTGAGTCGCTGCAGTTTTCAGAGCTTTGTACTCTGTTCAACAAGGATGTATGGCAAAGTGGGAAATGGTAAAGGGTCTTCAAGGGGAGGCAAGTTGGTGGAAGTGGTAATTTAGCTAACTAGGGTAACGGAAAGCCAAATACGAGTCCTCTTTAATCTTTGTAAGATGAAAGTGTTCTTAACATATTTAGGTGGACCTTGGTTAGGGTTTTTGGTCCATCAGTAAATATTCTGATAAAAGCCAGATAACGTTTTTGGTTGTTTTGTGTGCAGTATCAATGGTGTGAGCCCAAAGGTCCGCAAGGTGTTGCAGCTTCTTCGCCTTCGCCAAATCTTCAATGGTACCTTCGTTAAGCTCAACAAGGCTTCAATTAACATGCTGAGAATTGTGGAGCCATACATTGCATGGGGGTGAGAATGCTTTATCCTTTATTAGTTAAGCTGGCTACATAAAGCAATGACCTTAATTTGATTGTGTCTGTTTTTAATATTTTAGGTACCCAAACCTGAAGTCAGTGAACGAACTAATATACAAGCGTGGCTATGGCAAAATCAATAAGAAGCGAATTGCCTTGACAGATAATTCATTGATTGCTCGATCTCTTGGTAGGTTCTGCTTATTTAGAGAACCTTTGAATAGTCCAAGGTGGTGTTTTCTGGCCTGTTAGAGCCTAACATTTCTCACAGTATTATGAGCCTACCTTTTGCTTCTCTATACTTTTTTCTCAGATACGGTCTTACTATGCACTTCTGGCTGGCCTCAAACTCATAGTGGTCCTTGAGTGGTCCTTGTGTCTCTGCCTCCCAAGTGCTGGGACTGCAGGCATGGGTTGCCATGCCTGGCTTGTTTTAATTCTCTTACTACAAATCTTTTAAGCTTAATCTTATATTAAAATTTTTCAGGTAAATATGGAATCATCTGCATGGAGGATCTGATTCATGAGATCTATACTGTTGGAAAACGCTTCAAAGAGGCAAATAATTTCCTGTGGCCATTCAAGTTGTCATCTCCTCGAGGTGGAATGAAGAAAAAGACCACCCATTTTGTGGAAGGTGGAGATGCAGGAAATAGGGAAGACCAGATCAACAGGCTTATTAGAAGGATGAACTAAGGTGAGATACTGCATCCTGAGAGTTGTCGGATATTAGAGGCAAAGTGAACCCCCTCCCCCCATAAGTGTTGGTAGGGGTTTTAGTTAAATTTTATTCAGTACTCTGATGGAGAAGGTGGTCTAGCTTATGATTAGTTGATTTAATTACTGTCCCCCCCACATTTGTTTAAAGAAATACCCTACCCCTTTGTCATGTGGCCTTGAAAGTACAAATTCAATTATCCTTTAAAGTGTAACTCAGTTGTTACAATTTTATATAACTGAAAAGTGTTCATTTTTGGCTGTGAGATTAATACTTTAATACACTTATTTTTTTTCCTTTTCAGGTATCTACCATGGTGTTTTTATGATTTGGTCAGTTAATAAAGTATCTGCTTCCAAACTGAAATGGTGACTTTTTGTTAAGGTTTTTTTGATCGGGGGGGAGGTTGTTTGCAGTTCAGGCTGGCCTTGAGCTCATTTTGTAGCCGAGGCTGGTCTCCCTCCCAGTGCTCCTCTGGCTTCAAGCTCCCGAGTGCTGGGGTTATAGGCATGTGCCACCATGCTTAGCTAAGAAATGAGATTTCTTTAGAGCATTTGAAGCTTTTATAGTGAAAAAGGTGAGTAAAAACTTTGAAGTTTTGGACCTTGGTGTTGTTTTTTGAGATGGGTCTCTGTTACGCTGTTTAGGCTGGCCTCAACTTGTGGCAATCCTGCCTCAACATTCCAAATCGTGGCATTACAGATGTGTGTCACCATCCTAGTTAAAGTTTTGGTATTTTAAGTGTAGAGTATAATCTCAAATAGAGTAAAAGTAAAGAAATAAAAAGATCATTAGTTAACTACTTTCAAAAATTGAAAGTTTGTGGACTGGATAGCATCTGTCTGGCAAGCACAAGGGCCCAAGTTCGATTCCTCAGTACCATATGTCATGCTCTCACCCAAAACCCCGTGTGGAGGCACACACCTGTAATTCCAGCACTGGGGAGGCTGAGACAGGAGGATCACAGAGTTCCAACTGTAGTGAGAGCCTGTATCCAAAAAAGTTTCTATACAAGTACATCGGGAATTTCTTTGAATGCCTTATGATCTGGAAAGCTATTTCTGTAAAGATTCTTTTATCAGTTCTAGGAAGTCAGATACGTTATAAGTTGTTATGCCAATGAATGATTTTGAAAGATAGGTTATAAGTCGCTATGCCAGTGAGTGATTTTTTTCAGAAATGTATTAGTGTACTATTTAAGTGTAGCAAATAGTATTTTAATCTCTAGGTGGAGCCAGAGAGTTTAGGATTTTGAAACTTCATTTTTTGTAACTATTACAGTTTTATAGATAGAGTATATCCCCAGGCTTTGTATCCAACTGTCTGAAGGGTAAGCAGGTGTATTTGAAGGTGTTTGATAAAACCTAGTTCTTTTTTCTAGATTTTAGGTGAACAAGGGTCATCAGTGACCTTGGTGGGATCAGTATCAAGAATAATTGGGGAAGCTGGACATGGTGGCATATGCCTGTGATCCCCATACTCAGGAGGCTAAGGTGGCAGGATTGCTTTGAGTTTTGAGACCAGACTGGATTACATAGACCCTGTTTCAGAAAATCAAAAATCGCCTGGGGAGTAGTTACACAGACATCACATTGCTGTCTGGGTATGGGTGGTGAATGGATTATATGTAAGAGGTCCTCATTGGGATAGAAATAAGTGCTACTGTATAGGGTAGAGGTGCATAAGTGAGGTGTGGGGTTTTTTTGTGTTTTTTTTTTTTCTTTAAAGGACAGTTGGGCTCACAGCAAAAGAGAAAAGGCTTTACACTGACAAATTGTCACACAGAATGGTAAGGATTTTTTGGTTTTGTGCTAATGAGAAACACAGGAATAACTCCCCAGGTTGGACAGTGTATTGAATGTAGTCTGTGTAGACACATTGCTGCTTGCAGGGGGGTTTACAGCTATTTCATTTTCCATTAAACATTTTCTAAGTAGGATCAGAGAACTATAATAAAGTTGAACATAGGTTGAAATTTTTTACCTGTTTATTTCCATTTCTATCCTTGCATATTTATCCTAGCTCTCTTGGTTATAGGTGTCTTTTTTTTTTTTTTTTTTTTTGTGGAACCGGGGATTGAATTCAGGCCCTTGCGCTTGCCAGGGAAGCACTTACTCCACTGAGCCATCTCCCCAGCCCCAGGTCTTGTACACAGCGATTAAAATGATTTTTGGGGAGATTTATTTGTGGTGATTTGGGTTAGCTGCTAGTTTTAGAATTGGACTGCTTTAGTTCATAATTTAGGCAACATGTTTGACTAGCAAATACAGTCATGCCTAGGATTTTACTAAATATTTCAAGTTAGAAGACATGTTACTTTGTTGTGTAATTTGTACAATAGTTAAAGTAGAAAATCCGTGTTGGGTTGGACAGCACAAATGTGCTTTGGGGGATGTACAGGATGATGTAGAAGCTCTTGGGCTGTCAGGGGAACTTTGACAGATTTTTTTGTGCGTTTTTAATGGTTTTGGTTGTCAAAGCAGCTAAAGTGTTCCTCCCTCTCCTGGGTAGGGAAGATTTTAAGGGTAGGCCTTTTAAAAATCTCAGTATCCAGGGCTGGCCAGATAGCTCAGTGGACTAAAGTGCCTGCTTAGGCACACACAGGAATTGGGTTTGATCCCAGGCACCACAAGCCTTGCGGGCCCCACCCAGGGGTGCACTGCAACTGATTGAGACTGGGCATGCCTACAGTCCCAGAGTTTGAGAAGCTGAAAACGGGGAGGATCACTACAAATTCAGTCTGTATAGTGAGATCCTGTACTAAATACGTTTTTTAAAAAATAAATCTCCCTATCTGTTATGCAGCAGGTTTTGTTAATGTGTTTCCCACTGTAACAAATTAATACAGCTTGGGGCCACTCTTAATGTCTTACTAGAGATGGGTCTGTTCCTTCTGAAGAGTCCATAGAGAACATTTCCTTTCATCTTCAAAATGGAAACCCTGCTTCCATCCTTAGGTCTGATATTCCCACCTCTTCCCTCGTGTGAGAATATGTTAATGCTGGACTATCAAAATCTAGGAAAGTCTCCTGAATTTTATGACACACGTAGTCCCTTTGTGTTGCGACAAAAAGATTAGCGTGTGCACAGGCTCCAGAAGTTAGGATTTGGAAATGGGGGTGATATTTTGAATTCTGTTTCTTGGTCCCTAGCTAGTCCTCAAAACTGAAGCTTCATATAGTCTCCTTTTTTTCTTTTTTTTGTAGCATCTATTAAAATCAACTTTTTCAGTTGCTCTGCCTAGCCATTCAGTGTGAGGTGTGATGCTTAACCCCTAGACTACCATGTAGACTGCGTGGTAAACACTTTACTAGCTCACCAGGGCAATAGCTATTTAAAATTTTGATTCTCTGGAGTGGTGGTACATGACTGCAATCCCAGCACTTTGGAGCCTGGAGCAGCAGGACTGCCATGAGTTTGAGGCAGGCTTGGACTAATAGTTCAAAGCCAGCCTGCACTACATACAGAGACCCTGTCTCAAACGAATAAGATTTCAATTCTCAGGTTGGTGTTTGTTTGAAGTTGCTGGGTGTTGGTGAGGGGGAATGGTGGTAAAGAGTGGTACTTGAAATTGGGTTTATGAACATACAGCTTTAGATAGAAACTAGAGATAATGGTATATATATATAGTAATAGAGCATATTAGGGGATTACAATTTATGCCATCTAGGCAGAAATTTCACAAGATTAGGATTTATATACCTGAGGATCCTTAAAGAAAAGGTGGAGCAGCAAGTGGGGTGTAATGGCCTAGTTGATTATTTTAAGGTGCTGGGAAATGAAGCTACATCCCTAGCTTTTTTTAATTTTTGAGACAGGATTATACCACATTGCCCAGGTCAGTTTGTGGTCATCCACCTCAGCCTGTCAAGTAGCTATGTCTCCTCAGTGGAAAGTGAGAGGAGTTGTGCATATGAGCCGGGCAAGAGCCCCACCATGTGCTGTACCCCAACCCTTGATCACTTTTTTTTCATAATTTTATTGATAAATAGCACTGAGTTTCAAATCAAATCGCTAGGACAGTTTCAATTATTAACACACTGCATACATTCTTAGTGGTTGCTGTACAAGATGCGGACTTGAGATCCTGTTTACAAACATCATTAGAACAAATCATTCTATTAAGAGAATGTAACTATATATCTATCCTACCTTGATCATTTTTTGATGCCAGGAGTTGAATTTGGGACCTTGTGCTTGCCAGACAGGTGCTGTGCCCAGGAGCAGCTGAGCAGTATCCCCTGCTCATTGAACCCTAATTAAGAGACTGCCAAGGAGATTGCTTAACCCAGAGCCGTATAGGTGTTTTTCAGAAACACTTTGTAACAGTGAGTGTGGGTCTTGGCCATTTTTCCTCTTCTCCACAGGGGTAGGTGGTGAGTGTGTGGCCTAGTCCTGGTTAGTAAACGTCAGTCACTGCCATATAACCAAGGGGTAGACCCAAATTCTGTTCCAGGGCTAATTTGGGTAAGTTAAAACCTGGGCAGCTCAAGTCAGTATCGGGTAATCTGTAGACAGCAGAAGCAGTCTGGGGGCTATGAAACCGACAGCCTACAGCCTGGGGTTGTGGGGCGTGTTACAAACCACCCAAAGTAGCTTAAAATGACAGTGCCGGTCCACACTAGGAGCATTCCTTTTCCCAAAGGAGAAAAGAACTTGACCTTGTCACTTACTATATGGAGATTCTGGACGAATACTGTTTGGGAAGCCCAGGGAGCCTGGTTACTTGAATTCCACGTGCAGTACGATCCAGGAAGCTGTTGGTCAAGCCCTCCCACCCTACCTTCCTTCAGGTTTGAGGCTGACCAGGCTTGGCTCTGCGTGCTCCCCTTCAGCCCCGTCGCTATTACCCAAAAGCTGCACCGTTCTATAGGACCTGGCCAGGGGGCCTGGTACTCCAGGCATCCACTATGTCGGGTATCCTCCCTAGCACGACCCGTCAGGCCGGCCCGCAGGCTCCTAGCAACAGTGGTCTGGGGCGGGCCTCCCGGGCAGCGGCCGTTGAGCCGCTGGCTGGGCTGAGTGGCAGGCGCGCTGCGCTCCCGGGCGTCGCCGGGCTGCCCGCCCCGGAGCATGCACCCCCCAAGGGCTGCACCCGTGTGGGCTGGCGGCCGGGCTGCCGCCCACCGCCCCACCATGCAGCAGCCCGGAAGGGTTCGAGGCTTGGGCTGGTGACCGGCCGCCGCTGGCTCCCGCGCTGCCCTTTGCCCCCACTTCCTGCGCTGCAGCCACCACCGACCGAAGCGCCGCGGAGCAGGCACCCGAAGAAGCCTCTTTCAAAGTCCCTTCCCTCAGCCGAGCCGCCAGAAGGGTGAGTGCTGGGGTGGAGGGGCTGGGGCTGAGCGGGGAGACCTGACTGGGTCGGCTGGAGGGGGAGGAAGCGCTGCCCAGGGAAAGCGTCCAGACAGAAGGTCACTGCAAGGATTCCCTCGGCCACTTGGAGAGGAAGTTGACCTTGTGGGAAGCCAGGGGCCAGGGCAGGTGCCTGGATGAAATGGGGATGTTTTTCCTCCGTTCTTAAGTTATGGCTCAAGCAAACACGCAGATCTGTCCGTTCGCTAGATGAGCCTTGGCAGGGTTCCCGCCATCCCTTTCTTCCATACTTGAGAACGAGCGAGATGTGCCAGGGATTTAGTGGCCTTGTTAATTACATTGTCCTAAACCAATTTCCTTGCCAATTTTGCTTTGCACCATTTCTGTTCTACCCACCCATAAGCTTATGCATTACTTCTTTTCCCTGGGGGTTTAAATCACTCCTAGCAAATGCAGGTACTGTTCTATAGATTGGTACTGGTCCACCGCCAGGCCCTCTTGGGGCCATAGACTTTATGGAAACTGGAGTGCTTCTTCCAGACAAATGCAAACAATTTTGCAAACAATTTTAGGGTATTCTCCAAAGCATAAGAGTCTCAGTCTTTAAAATTTAGATGTATATTACATATCTATATATAGATACACATTTATCCATAATACAATAGTGTTTGATAAAAATGTGACATTTTCTTTTTAAAATTCTTGAGTTACAATATGTATTGGCACTTTTCATTGAAACAGTATTAAATTATATAGTTAAGATAAATACTATATTATATACCACACTTTTTAACGTGTAAGAGTTATCATTCTTTTTTTTCCCCATTTATTTGTATTTTGGTAATAAATGGAATCATGTTTGATCTCTCTCTCTTTTTTTGAGACAGTCTGCTATGTAGTTCAGGCTGGCCCTGAATTCACTGTGTAGCCCAGGGTGGACTCAAACTAACAGCAAACCTCCTGCCTCAGCCTTCTGAGTGCTGGGATTTAGGTGTGCACTGTTTCTCTTAAGATAGGGAGAATATGTTATCAGTTTACTTAGGTTTTCCTAAGTATTTCATAGCACCATGTATCAGTTTATGTAGCAATTTCTTCTTGAAATTGGTTTCAGTTTTTCCATTTTACAAACAGTGCAATACTGAACATTCTTTTTTTTTTTTTTTTTTTTTCCGGTACTGGGGATTGAACTCAGGGCCTTGTGCTTGCCAGGCAAGTGCTTATTCTACTGAGCTATCTCCCCAGCTTTCTTCCACTTGGCAATTCGTTATTGTCAGAACCCAGTCAGTGAGTGTGGCCCTGATAGCCTGAGGGAGTCCATCAGCCCCAGGCCCCCTGGTCACAGCGGGCTGTGAGCACCCCAGCAGGGCCCAGGATCTGCCACTGCCACCTGTGGCAGCCCAGTCTGCATTCAGAGCAAAAAAGACAAGTGGAAGGAACATCTGTTAAAACGAATCACTTTTGACATAAAAATAGGAAAATCAGATTTCCAGTAACATAATGATGACATCTGAAGACCAGATCCAAGAAGGGAGGAAACTTGTGAAACTTAAAGCAAAAATTCGTTCCTCTGAGTGAGTGGCAAGCTGGCAAAAGAAGAGTAATGAAAAAACTGCCTCAATCTGTGGTTACCCAGCCCAAGCCTGAGAGACAAAAGGAAAGTCCAGTGGGTCTGTTGGACTACTGGGAAATCCAGGAAATCAATGTTATGGATGCAAGTGTTAACCTAGAGCCAGGAAAACCAGAAGTGGAGAATAGACATCATAGAAATTCAGTATTTCAAGAATGCAAAAAACAGCAAGATGACAAAAGATCCACCTGACAATTTTAAAATCTCAGGAAACACATGAAGTTGCTTACATGTATCTACTATATCATACCTGCAAAGTATGTTCCTTGAATATAAAATAGGTTTCTTATAATGTTCATGTTATTCAGACTTTACTAAACATAAATATTATTTGCCTGGCAAGCGCCTGAGTTCAATCCCCAGTTCCACCAAAAATATAAATAAGAGCACTGTAATGATGCATTAACAGAAAATGAGGTGTTCAGGGCCAGTGAGGTAGCTCAGCAGTCTAAAGTGCCTGCTTAGGCAAGCTTAGGCAGGCTCAGGCGGCTGTGGTTCGATCCCCAGCACCACATACCATGCCAGCCCCATCCGTGCTCAGGGGGACTGAGCTGGCCAAAAAAGAATGAGGTGTTATAGGTAAAATTTGTATTACATGAGCATGTTTCAAAAGTTATGATATACTTTCCTGTCTTTAAGCAAAATATTGACAGTTCCCTTTGCCTTGATTTGACTAATGTGAAAGTCAAAATTTAGGGCTGAAATCTATCCATGGTAATAAAAGCATGCCTGTAATTCTAGTCCTCAGAAGGCTGAGGCAGGAAGATTGTGAATTGAAGGCCAGCCTGAGCTACACAGTGAGATCCCATATCCAAAACAAAACACCCAAAAAAGTGGGGTATGCTTAGCATACCTGAAGTTCTGGGTTCAGTACCTACCATTAGAAAAAAATTAAAACTTTGTACTATATAGTGCTGCTCCTTTAAATATTAGAATGTACAGGATTTAGTTTGCTGTTCCACCAAACTCGTTATGCAGACTCTTGTGCTCTGTTCAGCCTGTGGTTCTTCTCTTTTCCTCTGTGACAATCTGGATCTGTTATCTTTGCTTCAGTCACTCGGTTGTAACTAAGTTTGCAAAGAAGAAAGGTTAGTGGATATCTGTGCCTGAGGTACTTGTTGAAGCACAAGAAAAAAAAAAAATGGTACAAGTTCAGTGAATATTCTAACCATTAAATCTAATCTGAAAAAAAAAATCTAATCTGAGTTTTTGTTTTGATTTTTGCAGTTTGATTGGTAGTGTTAAAAATGTAACTTGTGGGGCTGGGGAGATGGCTCAGTAGAATAAGTGGTTGCCTGGCAAGGGCAAGGGCCTGAGTTCAATCCCCGGTTCTGAAAAAAAAAGAAATGAAAAAGTAGACTTTAGGGGCCGGGGAGATGGCTCAGTGGAATAAGCGCTTCCCTGGCAAGTGCAAGGGCCTGAGTTCAATCCCCGGTTCCACAAAAAAAAAAAAAAAAAAAGTAACTTGTGTGAATGAAAGCAAAAGACAGGAAAAGGAATACTGTGGGACTGTCCTGCTTCAAGGTTGTATATGGTGAGATTTTTGGACTTACGTGTAAACATAAAAACTATATAATTCTTTATGCCTATTTTTAAAATATATTCTAATTTTTTAATTTTTTTTGTCATATTCTGTAGTGACTTAAAGTTCAACATATCAATACTTGATGAAAAATACCTGTTCCATATTATGCCTAAGATGTTTGATATGCCGAGAGATAATGAGGTTAAGCTTAACACCCTAAGTTGTATGGTAATAACAATAAGCTTGTCTTCTGGATCGTTAACAACCTAAGTTTGCAGACCAAAATTAGATGAAAAGGAGGGCTGCAAGGAAAGCCAACATTTTGACCCTACCCTTCCAACGTCAATTAAGTCTCAGGACATATAAGATCTTGTACTGTAATGTCATGTAACTCGGCAGTGTCCCAAATTTTCTGATCAAGGAGATTATGGGGCCAAAGAGGAAAGCGATCGATGATGTAGAGTGTGCCTAAGGAGAGTCACATGAGAGAAAACATTCTCTCAGGCTTTCACAAAGAGCACATTGGCCAAGCAATGACCATGACTCATCTACATGGCTGACACTGACAAACAATCTGAGGT